AAAGGACTGGGGATACAGCTCAGTGGGAGAGCACCATGGGTTCAACCCCTAGCATGAAAACCAAAACCAAAGTCAAATACATAGTCATATATTTTGATAGGTTTTTAAAAACTATAAAGTTGATTCCTGAAGGTTCAGTCAGAGTCCCAGATTCCTGGGAGGGCTTTGCATCTCCAGCTTGTCTTCCCCCACCACTCCAGGTTAGTTGGGGCCAGGTTAGCAGGGGTTTGTGATCCAGGCGTGGGCTCTCTTCTCTAGAACAGTCTAGGGGAGACTACAGGATACCACAGGAGGGGACAAGATGGAGGACTGAAAACTCAAAGCCTTTGGGAGCAGGCAGTAATATAAGCTTAGGTCGTAGATTGGTTCATGTTTCTTAGGGTTGGCTTTGTGCCAGGCACTAGTTTGAATTTGGGGGACACAGAGAACGAGATTATGGGGAGCTGCCTTCAGAGAGCTTATGTCCTCTTGTGTCAGGTGTTTGTGGTGCAGAAAGACGTACGCATACAAGAGGATAATTCCAGAAACTGATAGGTGCTAAAAAATGAGGGTGGGTGGCCAGGGAAGTCCTCTTTGGAGACATGCCATTTGAATTGAATTCTAAAAGGTAAGAAGGAGGCTGCTGTTCAAGCCATCAGAACTGTAAGCAGCAGGTGTGATGTAAAAGAAGGCCCTGGAATTAGATGGCCTTGATATGAATCTGGCTCTGCCCTTTACCATCTATGTGGCTTTGGGCAGATCACCTAATCTCTCTGTGCTTCAGTTACCACATCTATAAAGTGCAAATAGCAACAGCCCTACCCCCAGGGCTGTGAGGAAGACTGCTTAAGTTAGGGTATGTGAAATGCTTAGGCTGGTGCCTGCCACATGGAAGGGCCTGTAAGGGTAGCTGCTGCTCCTGGGATCTCTCAGGCTGGTGGCCCAGCATGCCAAGCAGGAAAAGCAAGTGTCATGGGGATGCATTTGGCAGATTTGGGAGACACAAAGGTGGAGAGCGTAGCTAGAGCCTCGTTAACCAGTGGATGAGCTCAGGAGATGAGGTTGGCTCAGGAAGGGTTGTGGAGGCAGAAGCTGGATCAGGCAGGTGGTCTGGCCAGGGGAACTGGTTTTTGGGTGCCTGGGCTGGAGCTCCAGGGGTGCAGCTGGAAGGAGAGGGAGGAGCGAGGGTCTGTGTTAGGGGGGAAGGCTGCAGGATTTTCTAGCGCAGGGGCTATAGCTATGAAGGACAGAATGGCCACGCTTTTGTTTGATCAGCTTTGGTAGGAGGGGACAGCGGGGAGGGAAAGGAAGTGTGTCATGTGCAGAGATGGGAAGCCTGGGCATCTGCAGATTTCTGGAAGAGAGGACATTCAGTGCTGGCACGTTTGGTGTGAGAGTCCTGACACGCACCCACGTGGAGGTCTGCAGTGGGCAGTTGGAATGAAGCAGCCTGGCGTGAGCATGTGGGATCCATGTGACCCTGGGGAACTGTTCCCAAGGGAATTCAGGTGATTTATTTTTAAAGTAACTGCTTGCCAAGACAAATACACCTGCCTTCAGTTTGCAACCCCCAGAAGGTCCCCAAACTTACACCTGGCCTAGAAGATGAAATATCCAATAGAAAGGCTTTGTGGCATGTGGACAGAGGAAGAATGTTCTGGAAGGATGGTCAGTCTCCATGCTGGGGCGTCTGTGACTTCCTGACCAGGCCTGGCCTCCTCCTGTCACTCAGCAGTCTTCCATTCAGCAGTTCATGTGTTCCAGGCCCTGTGCTAGTCTGGAGGAAAGACTAAAAAGATGTGTGCTCCTCTAGTGGGCAGCTGGGGTCCTGGCCCAAGGGCCCGATGTTCTGTGCCGTGTTTTGTTATCCGATGCATTTGGAGCCTCTCAGTCTGCAGCCAGTTGGTAACGATGCGATGATTTATGCTTCTGGATGCAGCAGTGCTGGTGGCACACACCTGAGCTGCCACTGGGGAGGCGTGTGCATGTGAGTGCGTGCACGTGCTCACGTGGTGGCTGTCGTGAGGAGCTGGGATCCAAATGCCGCAACTCAAGTTCAGTCCTGGCTGTGAGGTTGAGTTCTAAGGCAGATCTAAGGATCTTTCGGTGCCTTGGGGCTTTGCACCCCACGGGTAGCTGGCCCAACTGGGCAGAGATCTTGTAGCTCAGCTCTTCCATTTAATGCCTGTGAAGAGGTGAATTTCTCTGTCCTCCTCTACCTTTGCCTTGGATGATCCTTCATACCTGGCACACACCATTGGTAACTTTAGACGGCTTTTGAAGTTGGTCTGATAACAGTTCTTTCCGTCCCCGCCACCCCACAAATTGCTGAAATGAATCAAGGGGATCGAACACTGAATTCCATTGTGTGCATTTTCAAAAGCACCGGGGGCTTTCCGATGAGCTCCTAGAAGTGTACTTGGCTTGTCCTGTTCGAAGTTGGTCATGTCCTTTAGCACCTTGCCCTCCAACTGTGATTTCAGGACTAGAACCATGGCCATCCCCTGGGTGCTGGCTAGAGATGCAGAACCTCAGGCCCTATCCCAGATGGACTGAAAAGAACCTGCATTTTAAACAGCCCTGCAGGGGCCCCTATATACAATCAAGTCTGGGACTTGCTGATTCAGACGGCAGCCTTCTGGAACAGGCTCACTCTCTTTGGATGGCTTCTGGATGCCGTGCAGAAGATGGTTCCCAGGTGCCCTCCACTGCTCCTGAGAATACAGCAGACAAAGAGACTTGGCCGAGACAGGTGGAGACTTGGCTTGGCCTCATGATCACTGTGGAAATGAGCAGCATTCAGCAGTGGGTTTCATGGGCTTATTTAAAATAAAGCATCTATTCTCTTCTCTTGGCAGTGATTTTGGTGACTTGACTTTTGTGTTTAAAGGAGTGGGATATTTTGGTCATAGGAAGATGAAGCTGGGCTTGTCAATCTGGAGAAGAGAAGGTCTGAGGGCACGATGGCTGTCATCTGGATTGGAAGGGCCCTCAGGAAGGAAGAGAACCAGACCTATTCTGGGAGGGGCAGAGGAAGACCTTCGGAAAGCCTGCATCCTTATGCAGGAGACCTCCCTAAGGTTCAGAGGGCTGGGTAGGGCAGGGAAAAAGGCCACTTCTAGAGTAGAGGATTCCAGTCCCTAGAGGCAGTTCAGGCAGGAGCTGGTTCCCCACTTCTCTGGGGATTCAAGCTTGAGATATTCAGTTGAATCAGACAAATTTTCAATGTGCTTTCCAGGGGGAGAGAAAAGAGAAGAGCTTCCAGAACTGGGCTTGGATCCCAGTTTCCCATTTACGAGTCCTGACTTGGGCAAATCATTTAACTTGAGCTTCTCTTTTCTCATCTGAAAACAGGAATAATGATACCTCATGAGACATTCTGAAAATTAGTTAAAAATTACGAGTGGAAAATTGCTGCCAGTGCCTGGTGTGAAGTAGGGGCTTAGCAAATTTCAGTGTCCCTTCTCCTCTTGAGACTTGGTTTCTTTGCTTTATCTGAGTGTGGATGGTAATTAGCTAACACTTTGAGTACTGGCTCATATACTGTTTTTTTTTTTTTGGTACAGGGAATCTAACCCAGGGGCACTTTACCACTGAGCTACCCCCCATCCCTTTTCATTTATTTATTTATCTATCTATCTATCTATCTATTTATTTATTTATTATTTACTTATTATGGAGACAGGATCTCCCTAAGTTGCTGAGGCTGGCTTCAAACTTGCAATCCTCCTGCCTCAGCCTCCCGAGCCACTGGGATTACAGGTGTGTACTATTGCACCCAGCGAGCTCATACACTTTTGATTCTTAACTGCTAATGGTTGACCTTTCCCTGATTTGATAACTGGGGTGTTTTTATGGGAACAGAATCACAGGAGCCCTGTAGCCCCATGTCTGTGGTGGCTTGCCGCGTCCGGCCAAGGGAGCCGAGTCCGGCGAGGGACGGCGAGGTTAAAAGACACACAGGACACCAAGGTTCTTCATCCAGGAGTCAATAATAATCTTTATTGCTAACACACCTTTTTTTATACCCCAAGCAGCAGAAGTGGAAAACTACCCAAAAGCAGGAGGGAGGGGGGAGAAATTTAGTTTCAACATCTATTATTGTCAGGTACCGAAACCTCCCTTAACAATAAGTCCATCAGACCAGAAAAGGTCAAGGCATTCCCGTGGGATACATATGTCTCAGATGGATAAGCAGGAACAGAAAAACCGCAAGTTCGCCATGGCCTTGTGAGCTGGCCACACTGGCATGCAGAACAAACTAGTGGAGGTAGGGCTCCAGGGGCCAAGGTGGACCTGTTGCCAACAAGTCCCCCTCTTTTGTTTTTTGCATGCCAGTGGGAATCAAGTAGCCCCTGTCTTAGGTCGTTCACAGCCCTTGCGATGCTTACCCGTCTCTGGGAAGGCCCCGATTCCCTGGCTTAGGTCGCACAGCAAGCGTGAAAGTTGCCCGTCACTGGGTACTACAAGATCAGCTCAAGGTGTTATGACCTATCAAGACATTATTGCGGTGAACGCTTAACCGTCTCCACCTACGGGACCCATGACCATCACCGCCGAATGACAGATGTGATTGGACCGAGAGATTAGACAGCAAAGATCCTAGTACAGGAAAGCAAGAGGGAGAGGTATGCATAGAGAAAAGATATGGCAGGAGTTCTTCTTTTAAGGAGGACACTCATCTTCGGATAGGTCTGAAGTATATCTCAGAGAGGCGATCATCCATCTTCAAGCGTTGATAGTGAACCTGTATTGGCTTAGAGGCTAAGATATTAATTTGATCCTTAATGAATTGTACTATCTTATTTACAATGCAGGGTCCTATTGCCACTACTAGAAGGAGGCCTAACAATGGTCCCAATAAGGGAAGAAGATAAGGCAAAAATCCATTAAGTCCAGTCCAGAGAGGGTTCTCAAATAATTCCCTCCTCCTTTTTTCTAGGTCTTCTTGGAGTTGTTTAATTTTTGTGCGAACTATGCCAGATTTGTTAACATAAAAACAGCACCTCTCCCCAAGGGCTAAACAAATTCCCCCTTGATTGGCAGTAAGCAAGTCTAAACCCCGCCTGTTCTGAAGAACTACTTCTGCTAGGGAGTCTATCTGGTCTTGTAAGTCTTTAATGGTTCCCGATAGGGTTTGCATATCATCTAGGATGATGTAGGATTGGAACTGTTAAGTAAAGAAAAGGTAGTTTCTAGGATATCTAATGTATTGGCATCTAAATCAGGAAACTGGGATTTGGGCAATATCAAGGGGTGGTATGTAGGCTTAGGGATCTCTGGCTTTAAAAGCTTAATCACCTGAAGGTGTTTGATAGCATCAGTGGGTCCCCCTCTGTCAGAGATTCCGATAGGGGCCTGCATGGGCCAGCAGGAGGGTTTACCCACGACGCCCTCACATCCCGCCTCCGTTAACCGAGTCGTGATGCCTTCCCCTCCCCGGTCACCAAGAAAAGGAATATAATTATAAGTGGTCCCCCATTCTCCACGGGTGTTAGTTAGGATGGCCTCAAAATACTGTTTTCCTTGATTATTAACACAAATTGAGGCCGATGTATAACAGGAGATGTGCATTGCCGGGGTGTAATGACAAGTGGCGGGACAGCTTCCAAGAGTCTCAGTCGGATTAGGGACAACAAGTCCGGGCTTATTAACACATACCCATTTTGGTTGCTTAAATCCTCCGATGTTTTCATTGAGTTCAGCCGCCATGTAGGCTACTTTAGTCCCACAATCAATGCTCTGGATATAACCAGAGGGGGCCGAGTGCCGGGGCCCTCCCTTACACTCACAAGGGGCTCCAAAAAGATATTCATGAATATTCCCAGGTGGGGGGTCAAGCCCTCCTTCAGCAAACCTGTCCAGAAGGAATGCCACAAGAGGGGTCCAGCTCATGAGGTGTGTCTCGGCACTCACTTGAAGGGGTGAGAACAACAGCAGCAGGATCAGCCATCTTGGGAACTTCATTTTGTCTTGAATTTTCATTCACCGGTCTGGTGCAGCGCTCCGGGATCCAAATGGGCTTCTCAGTTCCTGGGGGAAAAACACATACAGCTCCCCTCACTCTAGCTAAGAGTGGAGCCGGGGGTTGCCACTTTCCAGTGGATAAATCTTTTCACCTTATTTGAGCATCTTGTACAGTGGGAGGGGAAAAGTGGCGTTGTGCAGCCGTGCGCCCTCCAGTGTCAGTGAGTAAAAAATTTAAAGTAAATAAGGTTATGCTTAGAAGTGCTTGTGGTCCCTGACAATTCCGGTATATCTCCCCCTCTTTTGTTTTTTGTAAATAAGTTTTTAAATGTTGATGGGCTCGTTCCACGATAGCTTGTCCCTGTGGATTATAAGGGATTCCAGTCTTATGATTAATTTCCCATTGGGTGCAAAACCGTTGAACCGCCTGACTTACATATGCGGGACCATTATCGGTTTTGAGGCATCGTGGGGTGCCCATGGAGGAAAAGGCTTTTAGAAGATGACTAATTACGTCCTTAGCCTTCTCTCCAGTATGTAAGGTGGCAAAAATGAAGCCAGAATATGTGTCAGTGGAAACATGTATAAAGGAGAGCTTACCAAAGCTAGGGAAGTGTGTAACATCAGTTTGCCAGACATCATTAGGTTGTAGTCCTCTTGGATTAACCCCAAGGGAAGGAGAATGAATAAATGGTGCACAGGTTGGACATAATGAGACAATCTGTAAAGCTTGGTCTCGTGAACATCCTGTGTGGAAGCGTAAAGACTGTGCATTTAAATGAAATTTGTTATGGAATTGTAAGGCCTTATCATATTCTGTCGTCACACAGGAAAGGCCAACAGCATGAGTAGCAGCGTCTGCTTTTGCGTTGCCCTCTGACAAAGGTCCAGGGAGCCCTGAATGGCTTCGGATGTGGCCAATGTATAAAGGATCTCGTCTAGCCCAAATGAGAAGCTGAACTACCTGTAGTTGTTCTGTGATGGTGGATTGCTTTCCAATATATGATGCTGTTTCTATGACTAGAGCCAGATTGGCTACATACAAGCTGTCAGTATATACATTAAGAGGAATAGAACTATAGACTTTGAGAGCTATAATTAAAGCTTCAACTTCCGCCTTTTGGGCCGACTGACCTGACACAGGTTGTCGGAGAATTTGAGATCCATCAAAAACGACGGCAAATCCATTTTTGGCCCCATCTGTATATACAGTTTGGGCCTTTGGAATAGGTTCCCTTTTCATAATCTTTGGGAAGATAATGGGACACCTTTTAAAGCCCTCCAAAAGTCTATGTTTAGGGAAGTGATTATCAATCTGACCCTTGAAGCTGCACAGGAAAAGACACCAAAGGTCATGTTCTTGTTGTAACTTGTGTATCATATCTTGAGTGTAAGGTTGAATAAGCATGTCAAAGGTTTTTCCAAACAATGCATCACCCAAATATTTAGCCTTCCAAATTAAGTTAATAACTAGCTCATAAAAGGGAGTCAATACCCGGGGGTTAGAAGCCGGCAAGTGGACCCAATAAATGGGACCCGTTTGCCAGAACACTCCTGTGGGAGTAATTTTAGAAGGTAGAACTATAAATGACAAGGGCAGAGAATAATCTATCTGCGTAATCTGCATGTCCTGCAGAGCCTCTTCTATTAGCCTCAGTGCTCGTAAGGCTTCTGGTGTAGGTACTCTACACGACGTAGGAGAAGGATCTCCTCGCAAGAGGTCATACAGGGGTTTGAGCTCTCCAGTTGGAATATGAAAGGACGGGCGCAGCCACTGTATTTCTCCGAGGAATGTCTGCCACTGATGTAAAGTTTTGAGCTGATTTATCTGGAACTGGGGTCTCTGGGGAAAGATTCCTATGTTATTAATGATGTATCCCAAATAATTGTAAGGGTGTTGAAACTGCACCTTTTCGGGTGCTATGACCAGCCCTGCCCCTTTTAGAAGGGATTGGAGGACTTCATAAGATTGAAGAAGACTTTTTTTCTTGGGCCCTGCCAGTAAGATGTCATCCATATAATGAATGAGGTAGAGCTGTGGGAACTGCTGTCGAAAGGGTCGCAAAACCTCAGCTACAAAATATTGGCACATTGTAGGACTATTAGTCATCCCTTGAGGTAGGACAGTCCATTCATACCGTTGGTAAGGTTCCCTAAAGTTTGTGGAAGGCAAGGAAAAAGCGAAACGCTTTCAGTCTCGTGGGTCTAAGGGGATAGAGAAGAAACAATCTTTTAAATCTATAACAATAAGATGCCAATCCTTTGGGATCGCAGTAGGAAAGGGTAGCCCTGGTTGTAAGGGTCCCATGGGTTGCATAGTTTTATTAATAGCTCGTAGGTCCTGAAGAAGTCTCCACTTCCCAGACCCCTTTTGTATAACAAAAATAGGGGTATTCCAAGGGGAGGTAGAGGGCACCACATGTCCTAACTTAAGCTGGTCTTGAACTAATAGGGAAGCGGCCTGTAATTTGTCCTTAGTTAGGGGCCACTGTTCTACCCACACAGGGTCATCTGATAACCAAGTAATGGACAGTGGAGGTGGCCGCACTTCAGTGGCCCCTAGGATAAATTTCCCAGTCCTCTCCGGTCTCTTCCCCGCCGGGTAACCTGTTCTGCTGGATCCACGGGTGATATTCTGCCCTCATGTCTCTTTCCTAGTCCCCTTCCAGGGATCCATCCCATGTCTAGCATTGCATCATTAACAAAGTCATTATTTCCTTTCAAAGTCTGGGTAGTGAGAATAGCCCCCATTTGATGAAGCAAGTCCCTCCCCCAAAGGTTCGTGGGGAGTCCAGTCACCACATAAGGCTGGAAATGGCCACTATGTCCTTCACCATCTCTCCATTTTAAAAAGGAGGCACTTCTTTTTGGTCGGGTCTGTCCTATCCCCTGTAATACGGCCGAGGGACTCTGGAGGGGCCAGGCAGGTGGCCATTGTTTTTCAGAAATGACAGAGACATCCGCCCCCGTATCTAGTATTCCCTTGAAAGCCTTGTCCTGTATCTCAATGGTCAGGTTGGGACGCGAATCCAAATGAGCTACCCAAAAGGCCTGGGGAGTTCCAGTGGAGCCAAAGCTGCCGTCGCCCCGGGACCCATGGAGGGTGTGCCCAGGAATGGAAGCTAAGGGTAGCAGCAGCAATTGAGCTATACGCTCCCCGGGGGGAAGAATAACAATTCCTTGGGTAGCTTCTACTACTATTTTTATTTCTCCCTGATAATCAGCATCAACAACCCCCGTAAGAATCTTCAAGCCCCACTGAGTTGCGCTACCTCGTCCCAACACTAGTCCCACCGTCCTCTCTGGCAGGGGTCCAAAAACCCCAGTAGGCAGCGTCTGAGGTCCCATTTGGGGAGTTAATACCGCTCGGGAGGTGGAACTGAGGTCCAGTCCTGCGCTTCCTGGTGTTCCCCTGGGGAGTTCCCAGATAGAAAGGGGTTGGTCAGTGGGAGGCGGCGGAGACGCCCACTCCCTGGGGCACTGTTCTGTCCCTGCACTGCCCCGGGGCCCGGGGCGGGCCCCTGCTCCCGTTTCCCGACGGTATTGGGTTACCCTGGATGTCAAATTTTGACCTGCACTCACTGCTCCAATGATTTCCTTTATGACATCTAGGACAAAGTCCAGGCATCCCTCTGCCAGCACCCTCGCTCCTTTCCGGGCAGTTTCTCTTTATATGTCCCTCTTTCCCACATTTAAAACACCCCTTAGAGCGGGTTCCCCTGTTATCAGCTTTTTGCATTCCAGTCTTAAGGGCAGCAGCCAAAACCTGACCAGTAATATGAGGCCCATCTATATCTTTGCATGCTCGAATCATGTCATCTATACTTTTGGCCCGGGAGGACTTAATAGCATTTTGGCAGTAAGTGTTAGCGTTTTCATATGCCAGTTGTCTAATAAGTGGCATAGCCTGTTCCAGATTAGGGAATATTTTTCCTGCAGCCTGCATTAGGTGGGCTATAAAGTCCGAATAAGGTTCAGAGGGTCCTTGAGAGATCTTGGAAATTTTTGCTTCAGTCTTAGAAATGGGCAGGGCTTTCCAGGCATGAACTGCAGCTGAGGCTATTTGAGCATAAACACCTGGGTCGTAATTAATTTGTTGGCCTATGGTGGCATACTGCCCAGTTCCTGTCAACATTTCAGCATTTCGCCGTTGATGGCCCGCATTCAGGTTAATCTGAGCCAGCTCGCGGCACCTTTCATGATATTCACTTTTCCACAATAAGAAATCCCCTCCAGATAACACAGCCCTGCAAAGTTGCTGCCAATCATTAGGTATCAGTTGACTGGCTGAGAAAGACTCGAAGAGGGTCAATGTGAAAGGGGCATGAGGTCCATAATTAATGACCGCCTCCTTAAGCTGTTTTATGTCCTTGAAGGCTAGGGGGACATGGGCTCTGGCCGGCTGTCCATCAGCATCGGCGTTTTCAATCATTGGAAAAACTTGAGCCGCTCTAGAACCCCAGTGGACCCCCGCCCGTCTAGTAGGGGCGTCCTCATTCCAATCAGGATTATAGGGAGGAGGTGCGGCAACTGAGGGGGCCCTAGGCACCCTCACATTTGCCCTTTTAAGGCGATGTTCTAATTCCTCTATCTCCCTTTCTAATCCCTCCTCTTCCTCAGAGAGAGAACTGAGGTCCTCAGGATCCTTTTTGGGCTTAGAAATCTGGAGGCGTTTCCTACCCCCTGAGCCCGAGTCCTCAAGAGGACCCTCATCCTTTAAGGATTCTGCCATTTGCTCTTCCTGCACCTGATTAAGGGCCTGTTCACATTCAGCAACCTGATCCTTGATCTTTACTTTATCTGTTAATAAAGCATCCTTTACCAACCTCCATAAGGAAAAGGTGGCAACTGGGACACTGTCCGAGCCCCGGTCCCTCAATAATTTCTGAAGGTCATGCCTCACCAGGTCCCAGTCACTATTATTAAGAAATCCTCCTGTCAGAAACCAAGGACAAGCCTGGGCAATAATTTCAACGAATTCGGTTGTAGTCTTAGTTTTTATTCCTGTTCCTTGTGTATTTAACAGCTCTTTCAGTTCGTTGGCCAGACGAACCTTCGCTGTTGAGTTACCCATGGTACGTACCCTGTCTCTTTAAATTATCTTTAAACCAATCCTCCCCCTTCTTTCTTAGAAGGTGAGCCCCATCCGCTTACCCCTGCTTTCCGGATCTCGGTGGGAGCCTCCAATTGCCGCGTCCGGCCAAGGGAGCCGAGTCCGGCGAGGGACGGCGAGGTTAAAAGACACACAGGACACCAAGGTTCTTCATCCAGGAGTCAATAATAATCTTTATTGCTAACACACCTTTTTTTATACCCCAAGCAGCAGAAGTGGAAAACTACCCAAAAGCAGGAGGGAGGGGGGAGAAATTTAGTTTCAACATCTATTATTGTCAGGTACCGAAACCTCCCTTAACAATAAGTCCATCAGACCAGAAAAGGTCAAGGCATTCCCGTGGGATACATATGTCTCAGACGGATAAGCAGGAACAGAAAAACTGCAAGTTCGCCATGGCCTTGTGAGCTGGCCACACTGGCATGCAGAACAAACTAGTGGAGGTAGGGCTCCAGGGGCCAAGGTGGACCTGTTGCCAACAGTGGCTGTCAGGGTGACAGCCGGGAAGGCTGGACAGGGTTGCCCTCGTCATCACTGTCAGTAAGAAGTCATATCCATGCCAGGGGCAGTGTTCTGGAGCAATGGCCAGTGCTGAGGTGATGGGGTAGTACCTGCATACAGAGCAAGTTCAGACTCACCTGCTCTCAGCAAATTCACTTTCCCACCAGCAGATACAACATATTTGCATGTGGGACTATCAAAGAAGGAAGCTGCAGTGAGAGAGGCCTTTTTATATCAAGAGCTGAGTGCTATCCTTTGCGTTGGTCTGCATTCTATTTGTATTGCTATAACAGAATACCACAGACTGGGGTAATTCATAGTGAAGAGAGTTTTATTTGGCTGCTGATTCTGAAGATGGGGTAGTCTAAGAGTACAGCACCAGCATCTAGAGAAGGCCTTTGTGCTAGGCCTCAACATGACAGAAGGGCAAGAATGTGCATGAGAGAAAGAATGAGAGGCCAGACTTGCTTCCTAACAACTGACTCTGGTGATAAATGACATTTGTCCAATCATGAGAGTAGAGCCAATCACCCGGATTAATCTCCATCTACCAGCACTGGGATTAAGTTTCCAAGAGGTGAATTTGAAGAGACACATTCAAACTATAGCACCTTTCATTGCTTTTGAAGCTATTCACTACCCTGACCTGTGAAAAGGGAGGTTTATGTCTGTGGTGGCTGTCAGGGTGTCAGCCTGTATGATTGGCTGTGTCATCTCAGTCTGCTTCTGGTCCTAGAATGCAATACACCTTTTCCTCTCCCAGGACAGATTCCACGCTCCTCTCCACCTCCCTAAGTATCACCTGTCCCTCCTTCCTAGAAGACGCTAGTACCACTCACTCCAGGTCACAAGAACCTCTCCCCTCTGTGATCAGGGACACTTTATATAACATTCAATAAAGTTTCAATCATCTCACGCATTAATATTATGTTTTTCCAGCAAGGTCTCAGGTTCCCTGAGGTCAGGGTCTGGTAAATTAGCCAGGTGATTTCTACAGAAATAGCAAACACCTTGATAAATTCATAAGGCAACAACTTGAACGCTACATGCCAGAAGCTCAGTGCAAGGTCTCAGGGTCTTAGCTGCATTCCAGGTTATGTCCATCCCCCCTCCCTGGCAGAGAGGATCGGGACAATGGTTGTTGGATCTGAGTAACAAAATCATGGCACTCAACATGATAACTGGGGTGTAGCCTGGTAGCCTGGAAGGAGGCATCAGGGAGAGGGTGAAGACATGATTGCAATAGATTCATTTCACTTTTTGTTAACATTTTACTTTGTTCCCAAACAGGATTGGTACATAGAGCAAAACATAAACAAAATATGATTTGTGGAATAAGGTAGGATATAGACAGATAAGCAGACATATCAAACCAGGGGAGAAAGAGATTTCATGAGCATATGGCCTATATCTCCCCAAGTAAGAAGAAAAACAGTAGATGTGTTTTTCAGGCCACCGTCTCAGGTTGGCAAGGCTTCTTTGATTTCCTCTCTGTTTTAGTCAGCTCTTTTGCTGCTGCGACTAAAGGACCCATCCAGAACAACTGTAGAGGAGGAAAAATTTATTTGGGGGCTCATGGTTTCAGAAGTCTTAGGCCATAAGAAGGCTGGCTCCATTCCTCAGGGCTCAAGGTGAGGCAGAACATCATGGTGGAAGAGTGTGGCAGAGGGAAGCAGCTCACATGGTGATCAGGAAGCAGAGAGACTCCAAGCTCCAGATATGAATATATATCCCAGAGCCACGCCGCCAATGCCCACCTCCTCCAGCCACACCCCACCACTTCAGTTATGGCTCAGTTAATCCCCATCAAGACTAATCCACTGATTGGGTTAAGACTCTCACAATTCAATCATTTCTTCTCTGAACCTTCTTGCATTAGCTCACATGTGAGCTTTGGGGAGACACCTCACATCCAAATCATAACACTCTCTGTGCTTCGTCACACCTGGGCCAAGCCAGTGGGTGAGCCTCCTACCCTCTGGCTCATGAACCTCACCTTTTGTAGGGCTGTGCCCACTTCTTTAGGAGAGGATGGCCTGGGAGGAGCACCATCCCAGCCACTTGCAAATGATCAGCCCAGTGAGTCACCACTAGAAATTGGTTTTATTTTCTTTTGTATAAGAGCCTAAGTTAGAGTCCATTTGACAGCCCAATTGACAGTCCAACTTGACAGATTGGCCTGGAAGGTATAATGAGGTGATGGCAAGCATTTCTGATAAAGGAAGTGGAGAGAGGAACAGGATGGGTGGGGGTGGGTGGCAGAGGGAGTCAAAAGTCTTTTATGTTTCTGGGTTCAGATTTCACCTGGATTTCTGAGCTCTGTTCCTAAGGAGCAGCAGGCACATTGTGGTTCTCAATGGCGCTTCCAGCTTGAGGCTAAATGCTGGGGAGATAAGGGCTCTCCTTCCAGGCTTGGATTGTGTGACTATGGGGTCTATCAAATAGCAGCATTTCCTGGGTGTAGAACATAGGATGGACATAAAATGTTATGGCTCTGGAATAAAAGGGTCCTGGATCCAGTTTCCAGTTATGACTAGATGTTCATCTCAGACAATTAAATTATCAAAGACTCTGTTCCCACATCTGAAAAAAATGGAGAAAGAATAGCAATAAACTTGGAATGTCTTTGTGAAGATAAAATTAGGTGACAAATGAGCACTGCCTAGCATGGTCCTTAATTATTGTATTATATGATGTCTTTCATTTTAAGCAATACCAGTAACATTCTGTGTAAGCATTTAGCTCAATGATCTTTGTGGATTATCCATTTTAGGACACATTCTTTGATCTCACACCTAACCTGGCAGGGACTTTCCCACTTACCATCCTGTGGTCCCCCTGTTGCCTTTCCCTCCCCAACTGTGGTAGGCTTTCTTCATCTGTAGCAGACACATCTTACCAAGCCCAGGCTCCACATCAGAAGCCATCTCAACACTCTACTCAGTCATCATCAGTCAGGGTTACACCTTTTTACACTTCAAATAGATCCCAGAGGGCCATGTACAGTGGTGCATGCCTGTAATCCCAGTGTCTTGGGAGATTGAGGCAGGAGGATTGCAAGTTTGAGGCCAGCCTCAGCAACTTAGTAAGGCCCTAAGCAACTTAGTAAGACCCTGTCTCAAAAAAAGCGGGGTGGGGGGCATAGCTGAGGTTGCGGCTTAGTGGTAAAGTGATTTTCAGTTCAATCTCCATACCAAAATGTTCCCCAAAAACCAAAACAACAAAAAGCAAAACAAACACACAGACAAAAACCCCACAAGGCAACAAAAACAGATCTCTGGCTTGTCAAGCATCAACATTTATCAAAACACACAGGGGCAAAATCATTTGCTTTATCCTTGACAAATGATGATATCATAGTTAAAAGAACTGGGGTGCAGTCCCTTCATGGAGAACATGAGACTTGGAACTGGAAGATGTGGATGACACTTTTGACTCTGCAGCTCTGCCTTGCTCTGATCTTGGACAAGCCACTTAATTTCTTGCAATGTCACTTTCTTCACTTATTAAAGAGACTGGGACTTGCTTTCTAAGGGCTGTTCATGTTCATGGATTTGATTCTTGATTCTGTCCTCTTGTTCTTGTTTTCTGACTGTGGGAGGCCCTCGTGGGGTTGGGAAGACACTTGGAAGCTGGGGCCCCTGAGTGAGCAGGGTAAGGGAGCGCCTCTTGTCTGGATTCTGTTGCTGTGCGTCCTGGTTTCTTTGCCCACCTCACTGACGAGCCCACTTCTACCTACAATCTTCTGGGTTCATGCCAGGTACCAAGTGCTAAACACATGATCTCCCCCATTTCTTTGCAGGCTGGTACTTGCCTCTCACTGGGGCTAGAGGCACAGGGGAGCAGTTCAGTCTGCAACCTGTTCTTCTTCAGGTGCAGCCTTTTCTTGAGCAGGTGGAACCTCTCTCCTCCCCCTCTCCCCTTCCCCCTTTTTTAGTACCAGGGATTGAACTCAGGGGTGCTTAACCACTGAACTGCATCCCCAACCTGTTTTTTTTTTTTTTTTTTTGAGATGGTCTTGCTAAGTTGCTTAGGGCTTTGCTAAATTGCTGAGGCTGGCTTTAAACTTACGATCCCCTGCCTTAGCCTTCCGAGCATTTGGGATTACAGGCCTGCACTACTGCACCCTGCCCTGTCTCCCCTTCTTAAAAGCAAAGGTGCTGGTGAGACATGGATGTTGCATCATGATACACCTGGGTTAAGATTGGGGCTCTGCCACACAACTGTTGGTCTTGAAAAAATTACCCAACTTTTCTGAGCTGTATATTAAGTGGGAATAAGAGTCCTATTTAATGTGAAGGCAGGGACCAGGGCTTCAGTGTACCCATTTATCTGGTATTCATTCATTATTGATAAATATTTTTGAAGAGATGAATGGATCCTTAGAGCACCTGTGGGTGCTCAAGGGATGTTAGTATCTTTATATCTTCTTCTTATTCCTTTTCCAATATTCTTGGCTGTGGTCATATTCTGCATGGTATATTGTCAGGAGGTTGGCGATCAAGTCATTCAATAAATATTGTGTACCAGGTGTTTAAGCACTAGGGACACAGCAGTTTTTC